TGTAGCTGAAACTGGGGGCTCGAGGAGGATGCACATCTTTAAGGCACTGGGTTTTCTTCTGGAAAGACCGCACGAATTCACACTCCCATCTGCAGTGGATGGGGATTCCCCCTCTTTCCCCTGCTTCCTTGCCCAAAATGGATCTTATAATTCTTTCCAATCTTTGTCCATCTGAAAGTTGTGTACATCTGAGCACAAGAGTTACAGAAGAGACAGCTGGGGGGTTTATGACCCGGCTCAGGGGATCTTAAATAGATTTGGGGCCACATCCCAGCTCTGAAGCTCAGCTTCCTCAGCTATAAAATGGGATAAATAATATTTTCCAAAAAGCTGAATAGCTTAATACTAGCCCCAACCACCCCGACTGTTCTCTTTTCTTCTTCCCAAACTCCTTTCTGATGGCTGGCTGGTTAGCTCACTTGCTTAGAGCATGGTGCCAATAACACCACGGTCAAGGGTTCAGATCCCCATACTGGCCAGCTGCCAAAAACAAAATATTAGAACAAACTCCTTTTCAGTCTCATCTCCCCCCAGCATCCTGGGTGAATCATATCACATCACTCCCTGTCTTAAAACTCTCTCCACATTGTACTTAGAACAAAATCTAAGCTTCTCATCCTGGCCGAGCTGAGACCACCTGCCCTACCTGCACCTGCCTCCTGTGGCTGTCGTCAGGGCTGGCTGTCCTTCACCCACTTTTTCGAGACTGCACAGGCCTCTTTGAGTTTCTTGAATGGGCAGTCCCTCGGCCCTGTGTCCTGGGTGCTTCTTCTACCCTCTCATTCCTGTCCTTGAACTTCAGCTTAAAACCACATGCTTGGAGAGCCTTTCCCTGCCCTCCCTGGTATTTTCCCTCTGGCATCCTGTTTAGTCCTTTCACAGTTTTTATTTTTTATTTTTTTTGCAGCTGGCCAGTATGGGGATCCAAACCCTTGACCTTGGTATGACAAGGCTGTGCTCTAGCCAACTGAGCTAACCGGCCAGCCCCACAGTTCTTATTACCGTGTGTAATGATGTATTTCTTTGCTTGCTTTTGCATTTTATCTCCCAATACCAGATAAGCTTTGTAACACCGGCCTGCCTCATTAGTAGATGCTCCATAAATATATGTCGGATGAGAGAATAACCATTTCACTCTTCCTCTAGTTTGGAGGTATGTAAACCCATAGCACTGTGACATGGTACGATAGCCATTGATTTTTTGTGACCTGTCCTCTGGGCT